GCTTAATATACCTGGGTAGTAATCATTTATTGAGTAACAATTTTCTTGAATACTACCGGGTATTATTTAAGGGGGGGGTATTGTATGCAGTGGTTTACAGTATTATGCTATTGGTCCACAAGTCTAGCTTTAGTATCTTATTTTATATATACAGTTTACAAATATTTAATAAAGCATATATAGTATAACTAACCTGACAGAGAATTAAATATATATATATATATATAAAGAATAAAATTACTTAAAGATTTTTTTAAAATTAATTAATAAAATTTTGTTAGATTATAATTTTTTAAAAAAATATTGATTTTAAATAGATTATAAAAACTTTATAATAAAATATTATTATAATTATTTTAATCAATTTTTTTTTTAATAGTTTAACTGACAGAATGAATTTTTATTGAGGTATTAGTAGAATATTTTTAGATTATATGAGCAATTCATATAACTATAATTTTAACTATTTATTCTAATCAAGTCTATCAATTTTACCATATAGTAACACTATTTTTATCAGTTGTTTTATTCTATTCGGGTTTATAGTATTTTATAGATCTATAATCAAACTTTTATTTTTATCAAGAAACTTGTTGTGTATTCTATAATATAAGTTTACTTACTTCTTGATAGTTATGGATCTTAAGATCAATCCTTATTATGTTCAGTCCTTAACAGGCTAGTAAAACTTTTAATAATATAGGTCTCTAATTATATTTTTAATATTTAGATAATCCAATAATATCATATAATTGGGTAATATACAGTCTTCTATTGTCTCATTTTTAATTACTCTTATAAGCTAGTCTACCAAAGTTTTTCTTAGTCAATCAAGACTAAATCTCTCTCAAACATTCTTGATTTGTTTGTTTATTAAATCAGTGTAACATGTCGTGTGTTTCCAACAAACTCGCTTTGCTAATCGCGCAACAATACAGTAATCTACTATTTTTGGTTTTCTGGAAAGTTTGTTAATAGAAAGCTTTTTTTAATGCTCTTTGTAAAAAACAAAAAAAAAAAAAAAAAAACAATTATTTATACTTGTATTTCCTTTTTAAAATTTAATTTCAACAAACCTTACCTTTTTAACTACTTTATCTGTCACAGAATGTCGTAATGTCAAGAAACAAGACTTTCCTATGTACCAAAAACTTTAAGCACACATGTGCTGTATATTCTAGCGTAACTTTAATTGGATAATATTATATGAATGCTAACTTTCTCACCGCTGTACTGTATAAATAAAAGAATGATTATTCGTCGTTTAAAATGCCTTATTTGGACTGCACACGTAGTCACTTCGCCTCCCCAGACATAGATAATCTTCAAAATTCTCAAGACAATGTAACTTTTGAATCATCCGACATTTTCAGTCTCTTGTGACAAGACTTCTTTTATTAACTACTTTAGAATATTTAACATTTATCATTGAATATTTTCTTATAATAACGAACAATTTATTATGACAAATCCGTTGTCATTATGGATTTTTTCGTGTTTTTTTTTGCACATTTTTGCTTGGACATGCTGGGATCTCGTGGATCCCCGAAAGCCAAAGGAGTTCAGAAAAGTTGATTGCCCAATGGTATCAGAGAATCCACCAAATTTAAGACGTGCCACTACGAACAATGATGATATGTTCGTCATTACTTTTAATTGCTTTGTTAGCGATCAAGCACTCTGCAACAAAGTAAAAAATGCGTTCAACATGGCAGGGAAAATTATTACCGCGAGCTTATTGTTAAACACTCCTGTAAATGTCAACGCTACCTTTACCGATTTCTGCATTTCATACAACATATGCAAAACATCAAGTTTAGTCATACTTGGTGAGTATCAAATAAATAAAATAGAATAAATAGATTAGTCAAATGATGTATAATTGATATGTCTCGTCTCGTAAAAAAAGTCCTCAAATTAATTAAAATCAATCTGTGTTAACAAATTATATTACAGGTGGCGCGGCGCCCTCAAGGAACATTGAAATGATGGACGATGACGGCACCATGAGATTATTTCCCCAGTCGCTTGTTAAGCAGATGAATTTAAACAATCATCCTACCTACTCCTCGTTTGATATTTATGCGATGTTTAACAGCGAGGCCAATTATTGGTTTGATGGTGATGGAGAAATTCAAACGGATCAAACGGATTTCTTATTTGTTATAGTGCATGAACTTACACATGGGCTGGGATTTACCACTGGCTACGACGACTACTTAAATAGTCCTGCTGTGGCGCTGACTCCTCAGATCAGTATCAATCCAAGTACGAATTCCTCGGGATTCTCGTTCGTGGGCTTTGTGGATATGATATTTGATAAATTTATGGTTATCCTGTCCACCGGGCAGAGAGTTTCGGATATTACCAAGCAACTTAATACTTTTGCTGGAGGACCTGGTGCCCTATTTAGTAGCACAGCCCAATTCGTTTCTCAATTTAAGAACTCTTCACAATACAAACTGGCCCAGCAAATGATGGAATATGCTACCACCTCAAAGGCGATAGGGTTGCTGCCAGTAAATTCAAGTAATATCAGCCAGGCAATTATTCTCGAGACTTCCCTGGTTCCGTACGCAAGTGGATCAAGTATAAGCCATGTGGACTACAAAACTTATACAAGAACCAGTGATTTCTTGATGAGATACCTGCAAGATATGGGGACAACATTGGGTCAGTCCATCATTTGGGGTGGTAATTATTCAGGCGGTTCGGTTGGTCCTAAATTACGATTATTCCTTGGTTTGATGGGGTACACGATTCAAAATCAATCCGTACCCATCACTTTAGTTGGAGAATACGTTACAAATATTTCGGGTGCTCATAGTATATCGCCTATAGTTCTCGCAAATATAGCGTGCCTATCGGCGATATCATTTTTTGAATGGTTCATGACGTTTAGATGAACCGACATCCAAAAATGAAAAAACATTTATGGTAGTATTGCAATTGTTTGTACATTATACATTATTTCTCAGATTTGATTGACATGTGCTCTAGGACGCGACGAATTCCACTAGTCACCGAATCTTTTCTAAACAATAATTTATTTCCTTGAAATAATTCTTATAAGGTAATTCGTGATTTGGTGAGAGTTACTACGTTGAAGAGGGAAGTAATTAACCCAATGTATTATCCGAGTCTACCTATTGTGTAATAAGAAATGCTTATTTTCCTATTTCTCGCATTCAACATTCATATTCAAATGTCCGTATCATCACCATCAAAATAATAATAATAAAAAATAAAAACAAAGTATTTCATGTAAAAATTATGTAAACCGAAGCATTATAAGCACCACGAAAATTTTTTCCATAACAACATGGAACGCGTATACATTATCATAAAGTATTCTAAGAATTTTAAACTTATGCGATTTAAATTCGTCACTAATAATTATTCCTATCGCTTGAATATCGAAATATTATACAAAGGGAGAGTAGAGTCAAATAAATACGTCACTGGGTTCGAACAAGTTCACCATCAAATCTGCCTGGTCGAATATATTTAACACACATCAGTTTTACTTTCGGGTTTAACGAATAAATTTTACAGCGAATTCCTATGTTATAATAAGAAAAGTAAGGGTGCTAATGTTTTACATTGAGATTACATTCACATATTTTGCTCAGTAAGTCGAGTATTTACGAGTAAACCTTGATGTGTTCTATGAAAGTTCTCGCTTGATTAAAAATTTTCGCAAATGTATATTAAATCTATTTTCCTAATAACTCATCTACGGTTTCCTGAAAGTAATAGAGATTGCATGATTACTTTTGTATTACTGTATATTAGAATTAGTTGTCGTAACAATATTTGATTTTTAAAACTCTGTATGTATTACGTTTATTAAATATTTTATATTTTTTATAATTTGACTATGATAGCAAAATTAAAATTAGAAATTAAAGAATGAAAATGACACTTTTAATTAACCGTTAGTTAAACATACAGTATATTTATTTCATTTATAAACTATTGGATATAAATATGTAATCGCTATAGAGAATCTTATCTTCTTAATATCTTGTATAATATTTGTTTAAAAAAAAATTAAATTTAAGCTTTAATTTAACACATAGACGATAGATAAATACGCATTGGTAAATGTGATTAAATATGTAGAAAAAGTTTTTGATAAAAAAACCCTCCCGCCGTTTCTTACCAGGGCAACTGTATCACTTATGTTTTTGACGTAACTTTTCAAGAAAGTTGCTTTTTGGATGCGTATTATAATTATCTTTTCTTTGTTTCATTTGATTTGATTGGTTTTTTGCTACCTTAAACCAATGTAGTGATTTCATTATATCTTTAGTGGTCCCAATTCCATTTCGATAACAAAGTCCAAGGTTATGCTGTCCACAAGGGTTTTTGCTTATAGCCGACGTCATATACCAAAGAAATGCGTTCTCTTCGTCTCGAGAGGTTCCAATTCCATTTTGATAACAATACCCAAGATTATTTTGTCCAAAAGGACTTCCACCTTCAGCCGACATAAAGTACCACAGAAATGCTTGTTTCTCATCTCTACATGTTCCAATTCCATTTTGATAACAATATCCAAGGTTGTTCTGCCCAGAAACGTTTCCACCTTCGGCTGATTTCGTGTACCACTGAAATGCTTTTTCTTTGTCTCGAGTAGTTCCAACTCCGTTTTGATAACAATACCCAAGGCTGTTCTGTCCACGAGGGTTCCCACCTTCTGCAGACCTCTGGTAATATTGAAATGCTTTTTCTTTGTCTTTAGTAGTTCCAATTCCATGTTCATAACAGTGTCCAAGATTATTCAGTCCTAAATTGTTTCCGGCTTTAGCCGATAATGAGTACCAGTTAAATGCTCTTCCATGATTTCGAGAGGTTCCAATTCCGTTTTGATAACAATTCCCAAGGTTGTTCTGTCCAAGAGGACTTCCGCCTTCAGCAGACCTCAGATACCACTGAAATTCTTTCCTATTATTTCGAGCGGTTCCGATCCCCAAAAAATAACAATATCCAATAACCAAAGCGTTTTCTGAATTTTTTTCACTATTAATTAGCAAATTAAAAATCTCTGTTGAAGTCTTTCTTCTGTTCTTAATAAACTCATTAAGGTGACGATTTACATATGAAATTTCATTTCCTTTATCTTCGGCATCCCGAATGACTTGGTACATCCCGTTTAATATGTCAGACTCAGTTTCTAATAAAACTTCAGAATTCTGTTTCTCGATGATCTTCACCATATCACTATTTATCATAGGGCAGTTGGAAATGTCAATGCTTTCGATTTCACAAACCGAGCCTTCTGACTCGTCTAATGTAACCGTTACATCCAATGAGTCAAGTGATTCTATTACGTGTGAAATTTCAGGCCTTTCGTTTGGATTTTTGTTCCAACAGGCTATGAAATTTAATTGACAATATTATTGGTTAGGTATCTAAGAGAAAAATAAAGATAACGTTTCATAAGCAGACCTTCGTACACCATAGCATATCCTAGAGGTGTTCCTTCTACGATAGTTTCTCTTCGACCTGATATAATTTGAAACATTAGTTCGCACCCGTAATCCGAATTAAAAGGGGTGTGACCACTTGAAATTTCCCAAAGTAAAACGCCTAAACTATAAATATCGGATTTTTTTGTTTGTCTACGGTAATGGCCCGTATCGGTCGGGGTGAGACATTGTGGGTCAATATATGGAAGAACTCCGAGAGGTATGCAATTAGTTTGAGTATTCGATTCCATTCTTAATTTTTTGGCTAACCCAAAATCGGCAACTTTTATGATTCCATGGCGAACGAGAACATTTCCAGGATGCTAACGGATAAAATGGATATCAGTGACTTACATTTCTTGAAGAACAAAGAATATTTTTAAGATATCTGGTTTCGCAATTTAAATTCATTACCAAATCCCTGTGGATAATGTCCCGTTCATGTAAATATGCGATGGCACTTGTAAGTTGTTTGGCCATGCGCAATTTATCGTTCCAATCTAATGATTTAAAGTTTTCTTCAAGATATTTTCTTAGAGTTGCGTCGGCATATTCAATAATCAAAAGATATTCGGTTCCTTGTGGATCTATTATTTTGGACTTATTGTATATCGTATTTTAAGAACACAAAGGTATGATTATTTGTTGGAGGTACGCCTTACCTTTCTTAGAGATACCATGGAATCTTATGATGTTTTCATCAAAATCAACATCTTGATGCATTTTAAGCTAGCATACGAATATACAGTATTTGAGTTATTTAATATTTAAAACTCCCGTACTGTCAGTAATGATCAAAATACCTCATTAATAAATGCTTTCGATGTACTTTCATCAAATATTTTGACCTCCTTGATTGCTATTACTTTTTTAACACTCTTGGAAAAAGCACGATACACTTCGCCAAAATGACCTCTTCCTATAATTTTAATATCTTCAAAGTCGTCATATTCGAATTTCCTCAAAGTCAAGTGGTTTATAGAGTTTTCTAGTGCACTGGCCCAACTACATGTTTCTTCCAAGTTCTCAACTGCAATCATTCTGACAACAGAATTCTCTCATCGCATGCATCCAACACAAGCCCAAATACGATAAGTTGTGTTGCAATGTTACGTATGCATGTATACAAAGGAGTAACACTAACATTTCTCTCATGTCAACCTTCAATTTCGTCTCAATATAATATCAAGTCCTAGATGATTCACTCGGGCATTTGTCGATAGAAGTTATTCTTATTAATCAGCTGTTTCATTTTGACAAATTCTTCACTTCGATAATTTGAACTTGGTTTTATATCGCGAAATTGAAAAAAAAATTATTCATTCTTTCATATGCGTCGACCAAAAGCAAATAATTATTACGCTGAATGTAAAATACTTAACATATAGTTAATTTGTTTCTTCCTGGACTGCAAAGATAATAAATTGGATCGAATTTATTGAAAAAAACATGGTTTTATGATCTTTATATGAAATATAAAAATAATTTATTTATACTTTCTTACTTATTTGTAAAAATTGTAAAAATCACAATACTGTATGTTGTGATAATTTAATAAATTTACTTGACAGATTTCTTTGTAAAAATAGTATCCTATTTGTTGTATAATCATGATTATCATTAGATTAATATACTCAAAAAATATAAGATGAGATTCAACCAATAGTAATTTTAAATGGATTAGATTCAAATTAATATTGGTTTATAACATAAATTTGAGGGTTCAAATTAGCTTGAACTAAATTTGCTATATGTTTGAATCCAAAAATCTATATACAGAATATATTTTGAACAATGAATAAGCATTAAATACAAGATTTTTATTAATGTAAGGCATTTAATCATTATATTATATATCTATTAGATAACCAATTTCAAATTATTCTATATATATCTTGAAATTACTTAAGTGAAAAAGAACAAATTGAAATCAAACAATTAATACTTATTTATTCAATAATATTAAAAAATAAATTGTAATTTAAATTATATTCTAGCTTTGATATTATACTATATTATACTATATATAAAAGTTAGTTATATTACCAATAAACAAATTCTTAAAATTAATAATTAATTAAATATCTTAATACTTTTTACTTGAACTTCAAAAAGAATTTTACTATTTATAATATTATAGATATTATAGATATATTCTTTATTTATAATTATAATTTTAAATTTAAATCTAATAGATTCATAAATTTAATTTAATTAAATAAGATATTTCTAATTTTAAGTTTTAAAATATAATTAAAACAAATTTCAAATATTGAACTAATTAAATTAGTTTTCAAATTTTAAATTTATCAAATATAAATTAAATTTAATAGTTTAATTATTTTAGTATACTATATAAAGTTTGGAACAAAACTTTTTGCCCTTTATTTATTATTATAATTTAATAAATAATTATTTAATTAAAATAAAAT